CTTTTGTTAAATACAAATACTTTAGAACTCGCAAAGCATATTTAAAATGTGTCTCATCATAACAGTTTTGAAATCTGCTCAAATAGTTTACACTGTAAGCTATATCCGGTCTAGTACCAGAACTAATGTACAAAAGTGCTCCTATCAAGTTTCTGTACTTTATATCTTCTCTTACATCTGACTGTGCCGCTTGTGTCAATTTTAGATTTATTTCCATAGGTGTCTTGTATAGTTTGCTATTCTCAATCTTGTACCGTTTGGCTAAAGACTCAATGTACTTCTCCTGACTTAAAGTTAGAACATTTTCTTCTCCATAATTATAGTTTATTTCGATACCTAAGTATGTTTTAATTATGCCCATATCTTTCATTATAAATGCCTCGCATAATTTCCTTTTAACGTCAGCAATGACCTCTTCGTTTTTGCAACAAATTAGTAAATCGTCAACAAATACTAGAACGTACACAGTGATACCCTTTTCTCTTTTGACATATAAACAATAGTCATATTTGCTTCTATAAAACCCTATAGTTTTCATTACATCATTAAAACATTCATACCATGCTCTGGGACTTTCCTTTAGCCCATACAAAGCTTTGTTCAACCTAAATACTCTATCAGTACCATCTTCATAGCCTAGTGGCTGTTTCACATAAACTTCTGATAAAACTTTACCATTTAGAAATGCGGTTTCTACGTCCATCTGATGAATATTAAAGGAATTTTGACAACAATAGAACAATAACAATTTAAGAGTAGGCATTTTAGCTACTGGTGAATAGGTATCATCAATGCAATCGGTTTGTTGAAAACCTCTAACAAGTAACCTGGCTTTATATTTATTCTCACTTTTCTTTTTGTAAATCCACTTAACATCAATTACGTCTTTGTCCTGGGACGGTCTTTCCACCAGTGTCCATGTCTTATTTTTTATTATGCTGTTTATTTCACTATCCATTGCTTCCTTCCATTTGTCCGACTCATCACAAGTAGTCGCCTCCTGAAAATTTTCTGGAACTAAAGCATCACACACATTAACAGTAATACAATAATACCCATATTCGTCATCGAAACGTCGTGGAGGTTTAGTTTGCCTTTTTGACCTCTTTTCCGTCATATTTCCATCACCATCTTTTATCTCATTGTCACTATTTGCTTCTCTTGTACTTTCGGTTACTATTTTATTTGTCATATCCTTTTGCTTCTCATTTCTGGTTACATCTACATTTTCATTTACTCTTTCATTTCCTCTACTACTATCAGACTCTCTTTGTTCACTTTTTTCCTCATTTTTTTCATCTGTATTTGTTTCTTGTTTTTCATCATCAAATCCGCATATATTTTGTCCTTCTTCTATAAAATCGCAGTGTCTTGCAACAATAATCTTGTTGTTTATTAATACTCTGTAACCAGTTTCAGTATATCCTAGTAGTATTCCTAGTTCAGCTTTTTTTTCCCATTTAGATCTTCGCCGTACCTCTGGTACCCTTACAAATACCTTGCTGCCATACATTTTCAAATTCTTTACTGATGGCTTCTTTCCAAAGAATATTTCATATGGTGTTTTCCTCTCTATGGTGTTAGTCAATGTGCGGTTTCTCAGATATGCCGCTGTTTTAATCGCTTCTGGCCAAAATCTTCTGTCAACTTTTGCTTCGGCCAACAAACATCTGCCCATATCCATCAATGAGCGGTTATACCTTTCAGCAGTTCCGTTTAACTCGTGTACATAGGGTGGACACAGTTCGATTATAATTCCTTTTTCTCTTGCAAATTGAAACACTCTATTATTTATATACTCCTTCCCATTGTCACATCTCAGCCTCTTTATAATTTTTCCAGTTAGATTTTGTACATCGTTTACAAATAGCACAAAGCAGTCGTACACTTCTCTTTTGACCTTATGCAGCAGACTTTTATCAACTTGCTGTAATCGTCAATAAATGTTAAGAAGTATCTTTCACCCGAATGACCCGCTGTTTGATGTGGCCCATTCAGATCCGTGTGCACAATTTCCAATATATCTTCGGCTCTTGTTCTGTTATTTTGAAACGGTAAGTTATGCATTTTGTTCTCAATACATATGGCACACTTCAGGTATTCTGTCTCAACCTCTTTAGGTAATCCTTCCAGTAACTCATTTCTGCACATGAGTTGTAAGTTGTTAAAATTTATATGTCCTAATGTTCTGTGTAGTTTTTCCTTTAACGTCATATCAATTTTGTTATAATTTGCTTGCACATTCTCTTGGTCTACATAGCTTTTCATTTTGTATAGTCTTTCATCTTTAACTGCAACAGCTATGATATCTCCATTAGGGTTGTAAATCTCTGACAATCTCCCTCTTGAATAAATTTCATTCTTATATGTGATTTTTTAATAGCTCAATAGATTTGCTCTCATCTCTTTAACGTAAAATACATTTTTCAGTAGCACTTCTGACTTTTCTCCATGTACAGGGAAGTATGTGTTGATAGTACCAACTTTTGTTGCTTCTAGAATTGCCCCATCACCAACTTTCACTTTTACGGGATTCTTTAACAATATACAGCTTTCATAGTACTCATCTGTGTTAATAATGTGGTCTGTACATCCACTGTCAAGCAACCAATCAATTTGTCCTCTCTTTGTCGTTTCTTTTTCACTTTCACTAGTATAATATATATTATTAGCGATACTCGTATGGAAGCTGTTTGCTAGACCTGTGCTTCTTCCACGTCCTGTATTAATTTCTCGTCCTCTAGTTGAGTTCCTTGTATAATAGGATCCTCGTCCTCTATAGTTCGTATTAAACCCCCGTCCTCGGTACATATTATTTCCGGAACGGCAGTTTCTTTGGATGTGCCCCGGCTTACCACAACCATAGCACTTGTTTATAGGCCTGTCTGCCTTGAAGACATTTGCGTATGAGAATACGTGTTTAAATTTTCTGCCCATTTCACTTGGATTTTACTCTTTAAATAGTCTACAGTTCGTTCACTCTCGCTTAAAATGTCAATCAAATCACCAATATATGCTTATTTCTCGGGGAGCGCCCTCAACATGTAATTCAGTTTTTCACTTTCGGATACGGTCGCTCCTGCCTGTTTTAGATCGTTTACTGCCTTCTCAAAATCGTCAAAGAATTGGGTCAAGTTCGAGTAGTTTACTAGCTTTATGCTCTCCAAGTTGTGCCTACTTACGATTTGCAGGGCTGTTGATGTTTTCAAGTACATCTGGTCAAACTTTTGCATGATGTCGTATGCAGTCTCCAACTCACATACGTACTCCAACTGCCTATTAGTGATTGCACTATAAATATAATTCGTTGCTTGGATGTCCTGTTCATCCCATTTTGCGTCATCATCAGTAGACTTCTTTTTACGCGTAACTACTTCTTTGCATCCTTTATACTGTAGGTATTTTAGCATTCGTATCTTCCAATGGCTATATTCAGCCCCATCGAAAATTTACATATTTATTTCACTATTTTTTGACGCCATCGTTTTTCATTTATTTTCTTGTTATTTTTCTCGATCACTTTTTACCATATATTTTCATTCATATTTTGCTATTTATTTCGTAGATTATTTAGCGCTCTGCTACCATGTTGAATTAGTGGATTAAAACTGCGGCTTTGCACTTTAGGAACGTATTATTTTATTTTATCGTCACCATTTCATACACAACGAAAATCCACCATTTTTCAATACAGAAAAGGTAATAGACTAGAGACAATGTTGCCAGTGTCAATGTAGTAACTCAACAGTGTCAAGTAATTTTTTTAGCAATTTTTTCCTTCTGTTGAGTTGGGATCAAGTTGGGATTGAGGATCAATGAGTAAATGATAAGGTGTAGTTTAGCTATTGTGATTCCGCCAGTGTCAAGAATATTTTTAGCAATCAAAACATTTCTTCAGCTGAGTTGGGATTTGGGATTAATGAGTAGAATAAGGCTTAGGTAGGCGGGTATTTGCTACCTTAGCAATACGGCCGCCTGTGTTGTACTTTGTCTTTTCATTTATGTTAGGTACACTGTTTTTTTATTTTGTTTCTTGTACAATACAGCATATTTGTATTTTGTAGGTAGGTATTTCAGCCGCTTTACCAGTAAGTTTGAAAGACACATCAGCCATGCCCAGCTTGTTTTGCGCGCGAAACGTGTAGTTGCCGAAGTCTGACAGCCGCACCGATCGGAAGATCAGCTGGTGCACCTCCCCTTGCACCATCTGCACTATCCTGGAATCACAAGAGACACAATTGAATGCCATTTTTAATTTTAGTTTATAGTGGAAAGAATAATAATATTAGGAAAATACCTAGGCAAGTCTGTGACTATGAATTCAGTGGCGTATAGGTCTGCCTCAGATGATGGGGGGTTTACAAGCCATATGATAGACTACAGGCGAAAGAGGCCCTAAACTGTCCGAATAAAAAATAACATGCATTATGATATGAGCAAAGCTAGCTCAACATTTCCCGTTGGACAAAATAAGCAAGAATCCACACACCATTAGTAAACTAAACTATACAGCGTGTTACAAAACAACCCATAAAAACTCCCATACAAATTGAGTTCGTTTTGTATGGGAGGTCTAATTTTTTTGTCATATTTCGACTCATGTTTCATGGGGAAAGTTGTTCAGTTTCACGAGTACCTTGACCTCCTTTTAGCTTTATTGGTTGTTTTGTAACACCCAGTATAAAACATATTGTTGTGGCATAGAATAGCATCACCTCCATATATTTCCCGCGGGTGTCGTAAGAAGCGACTAAGGGATTTGAGAGTTGATGTGTATAGTAATTTTAGGCGGCAGGCTGACAACCTGTCACTATGGTGATATACGGTCTTCTGAATGACTCTCAAACTTTTGTCACACGTTGTGTAAATGGCCTTTTTAAAGCCGTTTATGCTCTGCCTTCCCCGCAAGGGATATAGGCGTGATGTATTGGAATTTTTAATGCACTCACAGCGCTATATTAGTCTCATAAACTGAAAATGAGAAAATTGAAAAATTCACTAGCTAGTAGCTTAGTTGACAGAGCGGTGGAACGGTGATCCACAGTCCCGGGTTTAAGTCCCGGCGGTCGCTAGTTATTTTTTAAATTTTCTCATTTTCAATGTGATGTGTGTATGTATGTAAACTCCAGCCCCACCTACCTGTCATCGTGCGTGTTGACAGGCCTGCCGTCGCGGTACCACGCCGTCCGGGCGGGCGGTACGGAGAACTCCACTCGTGCAGCTAACGCCGCTCGCAGTCCTATCGCCGTGTGCACGAACGTTCGTTCCGCCGTCACTACTGGTGCGTCTGGGGGTAAGAGAGTTTAATGAAGCAAGAAGACATTGGAACCTACAAGATTTAAGGTGAACGCAGATTTGCGCTACCACCCGAGCCGCACGCGCCGAATTTTGGATTCTTTGTATGAAAATCTATGGAACCTCGAAAATATAGCCGAGCCGCACGCGCCGTACGCGCCGAATCGAACGGATTCCCCAGCCAGTGCGGATCATAGACTATAATTCTGGTGACGTCATTAGCGCGCGCGGACAGTGTGACCATATAAGAAGATTTTATTTTTTTTATTTGTTGGTGCTGCCAGACAGTTCCATTAATTTTCCCTCCCAGTAAGGTTTGCTGTTCTTCGTCCCTTTTTTAGATTTTCTTTTCGAAAGTTTTCGGAGTTTTTGAAGTCTAGGACCCGACACTTTTTGGTCGAAGAGTTTTTGTCTCTGATCGATGAACATCTGAGAACTATAGTACCGTCATTCGAATAGGCCATATTTGACAGCTTTTAATACTATGACAAGGTCTATTTTTCTTTGTTGACATGTTTCCTAGTATGGGTTTGACAGCTGTCAAATATGGCCTATTCGCGTGATCGTACTAAAACAATGTAAGTACTGACTGCACAGCATGACATTTCCTGACATTGTATTGTACAACATAACTATGTACGACTACGACACAGTAATGGGCAGTTTTTCAAGGGTTCTCAAGTGTCATGTAGATGCGTGCAACCGCTCCGAAATATCGAGGTAATTAAAAATCTAATCACGGTAATGATCCCGTTAACAATAATTTAAGTGTTATGAACATATAATGCAATGAATGGTGTGACATGACAGCAACTATTATTCTTAAAAATCTATTGTTGCCTGCCGCTTGATTTCCGAAAATTACATAGGTATGACAAAATTACCCATCAAACTGGGAAGAAAGTACTCTCTTAGCAACACCGACTCGATTCGATGCGGCTGTGTTTGCGGCTAGGTGTACGAGGCCTCCCGCATTATTCGGCGCGTGCGGTGAGTGCGGTTCGGGTGTGCGGCTAGAAGTACTTTCACCTTGTCCCGTGTTTGTGCTCTATATTGAGGTTGTGGCGGATGCCACTTGTTTTTATTGTAATTATTTTTGGATCAAATCCGCTAGTGTCCATGTCTATAAATTGTAACTAGATTATCTATGACTCTGTGGTTTTTAGTCTAACACTTGTCTATGTCTGGGAATCTTTTCACGGTGTAACGTTGTCCGCTGTAATGTTTGTACAAAACTAGAAATATATCATTGTCAAGTTTATTGGAGCGTTTCTCTTCGACCTGGATCCACGCCCGGCGCACGGCGCCACAAGGTTATTTCACTGCGATTGCGACCGAAGCGAGCTCAACGTTTCACGTTAAAGTGATAATAGGTATAAGCCAATAGGTAGGTACGTATTGCTAAAACTTTGGTTAAAACAAAAACATATTAAGCCTCGTAACATGAGCGAAGCGAGCTCTTAGTTTTAAGTTACAACAATAACACTACGACTAATGGCAAACATGTTTTGCATTGCAACTTACAGAACTCGTCCGCGAGCGAAGCGAGCACATCATTTCACATTAAAAAAACTCGCGCGTTTACCACGAGCGAAGCAAGCTCATCGTATCATGTTTTTGTGGAAGCTTACCATGAATAACAACTCTGATGGCGGCCGTGACGGGGTCTCCGACGCCGTTGTTCGCTGTACACTCGTACACTCCTGCCAGCAGACGGTGCTCAGCCTTGAACCGCATGCGGGTGCGGTGCTCGAGTAGGGCCATGCGCTCGCCCTGCAGACAGAAAAGGGGGTCATTTTGGATGAAACTAAACGTAGGCTGCCAAAGACTTTTCAGAATTTATTGGCAAATTATAACAGCTCTACCGCGTCAGTCATGGAGGCGTACCTAGTCTTCTTATACAGGGCCATCTTTCAGAACAGTTATTGTAGATGGCAGCAGGTGCGTCTGTGTATTGCACCAATGCGATGTAACTGAACTTTGACATTGACATTTCGAACTATAATTTAAGAAGATTGACGCCAGGCAGGCTGCTACTTGTAAAACCAAACCGTATACACGGGAGTGTTACTAAGGTAAAAGGGTATATACAGGGTTATTTTTTAGTCAGTGCGCAAACTTTGCAGGATGTTTCTACTCGTGATTATGATCAACTTTTACTATGGGACCACCGGTGAATTCGCAAAAAAAAATTTGGTTGTTGTATAGAAAAATTTATAGCTCCTCGGCAAAAATGTATGAAACACCCAAAATTTTTTTTTAGGTTTCGCAGGTGACCCCATAGTAAAAGTTGTTCAGAATCACGAGTAGAAACATCCTGCAAAGTTTGCGCACTGACTAAAAAATAACCCAGTATAACAAGCCAAAAGGTGAGGTGCTCATGAAACTGAACATAGGTTGAAATATGAAAAACATATTTGGATCTCATATACAAAATCGCCGATCAGCAGATTAATTTATTATGAGAGATCCAATAAAAAAATTCATATTTCTGCCCACGATCCATGAGGAAAGTTGTTCAGTTTCATGAGTACCTTCACATCATTTCGGCTTGTTATACCTTGTAACTCCCGGTATTATAAATACCAACTTTAGCCATACAAGTTGTTCGATTTCACTTACATTCTTCCTCCAGTCCACGATAGGCTCGGGGGTCCCGCTGACCTCACAGCCGATGTCCACGTAATCACCTTTCTTCACCTCCAGAAAACCGTCCTCGGGGACCGTTCTGATCGTTGGAGAATCTGCAGGAAAGGTGGTGAAAATTTGAAAAACGACGCATTTTTCTGAATACACACGCTAAACTGATCAAAGCCCAAAAAAATTAGACCTCCATGAGAGGTTAATTTTGTTTTTTCTAAAGTCGTTAGTCGATAGTCTAATGTCATCTAATTAACCACTTGATCGATATTATTGATTTGTTGCGCAAGGGGTTGCCAACTTAACAATATAGGTACAATACAGGGTGTTAGAAAAAATATTTTATTGAACTAATGCATGTAAAAATTAGTAATGGCAATGTTATTATATTACAAGGAAAAGTTACCTACTTTAATGAGTTGAGGAAGGCTTTTTTTGTCATTATAGGAAAAGTAGCATTAAAAACAACTTACACTGAACTTCAATAGAATGTGTCTGCCTGATCGGCCCCATTGGCTCAGGACGGATCACCTAAAACAAAAAAAACATTTAATGATGAATGACTTTAATGGTTGTTAATTTTTGAGCTCGTTTTTCTATTTCCTTTCTTTTTAAACCACCATTTTGTCCTTTTCAGGCCATTTATCTTTGCCAAATCCAAATCCTTGCTTAGCTATATTATCAGCAGCTCATGAATCTGTAATCGACTTTAATCGATCAATTGTATCATAGTAGGCGGTTGTGCAATTCTAACACCAGAGTACATCGGGGCGTTGGACGATACGGTGTTCCACACGAAAAATACGAACTATTTTTCATCATAGTTTTAATAAAATGATAAGTGTCTTGCCATTTCTACAAAACAGCAAAGTGAATCCATGGTATAATAAGATACGTGAATCTACTAAAGTCTTGAGATATTCCAAATCTGTCCTTTTTAAATCCGACAGGAGGTAGTTACTTTGTAAGTAACCTAATCAGAAACTCGTCCGTAACATTTTTAAATCCCTTCGAGTCTTCCAACGACCCGATGAACCCAGCGTTTCTTCAGCGTCAGCGTTTTTCTCTCTAGGCCTCTGACATAGTTGTGTAACGACCGCCGTCTATGAACCCCGGTGTCAGCATTTTTCTCTCTAAGCCTCTGACATGGTTGTGTAACGACTGCTGTCTAAGTAGTTAACATCCAGGACCGACGGCACCGTGCCCTTAGAAGTACTGAACCATCTTTATTTTCGGACAATTAAGTGAAATCCTGCACTGTCCTAACCAGTGAACAAACAAACCAGGGAACAAAGTCACAAAGTGATAAATATCAACTTGTGAATGACCCACCGAAAATCGAACTCTGAGTCTTCTACGTCGCAGGCAGTCGCACTACTATTACGCCACATAGGCCGTCAAAGTTACTAACGATCTTCTATTCACACATCAATTGCGGAAGAGCTAAAAAACTAAAATGTTTAGAATTGGCCTCTCCAGCGATCAATTTAAACTGTTAGTAAGAACCGCCCTTCGATCTTAACTAACGCTTGTAATGCTGTAATTGTTGGACACTAGTGATGGGACGCAAGCAGACTTCAGTTTTTATCGATAACATCGATAATATCGAGATTAGAATGGGTAAAAGATTTTATCGATATAAATTTTTTTGTCATCCCGTAACTATTTACCGGTCTACTCGGTATCCAGAGTCTAATTATGCAATTTTTTAATCAATTTGGTTCGACTGAAAATCAAAATTTGAAAAAAATATACCGGGAGTAACAGAAAGGGTATAACAAGCTTTCGGCTTGTTATACTCTTTCTGTTACCACCTTATAAATAAAATATTTTATCGATATTTAATTTTTCGTCATCCCATCACTATTTTACCCGTCTACTCGGTATCCAGGGCCCAATTATGCAATTAATCAATTTGGTTCAACTGTTTTGAGACTGTCGGTGTTTTGTTACATTTGTGAACCGAAAGGAATAGACTTGTATATGAAGAGGATACAAATTATATCATTTGTCATAGTATTAAGTTGAAGGTAAGACAAAAAATCTATCTATTTATACTGTCTTGCCACACTACCGGCATAGTCTGCGATGGAATCCTTATACCTACAAGATATTTTTATACATATATTTTTAATTA